TGAGTGGTAGATGGTGATATCTTTGGTCTTAACCTGTCTTACAGAAATGAGTGGTAGATGGTGATATCTTTGGTTTTAACTTGTCTCACAGAATGAGTGGTAGATGGAGATATCTTTGGTTTTAACCAAACTTACAGAATGAGTGGTAGATGGAGATATCTTTGGTTTTAACCAAACTTACAGAATGAGTGGTAGATGGTGATATCTTTGGTTTTAACCTGTCTTACAGAATGAGTGGTAGATGGTGATATCTTTGGTTTTAACCTGTCTTACAGAATGAGTGGTAGATGGTGATACCTTTGGTTTTAACCTTCTTACAGAATGAGTGGTAGATGGTGATATCTTTGGTTTTAACCTGTCTTACAGAATGAATATGTTACCAGTACATTTCTGTAGTTTTAAAGTTAAAAAAAAATCACTCAACACAATATATTAGTCAGTTTTGTATAAGTATATAAATGGAGTGTTATACATTAACAAGTGTGTGTTGTGGAAGTTCTAATAATGTGTTCAGTCTATGCTTAGTCTTTAAATAAAATGTGTGTGTGTGCTGTATAAAGAATTTGTACATTTTTCTACTGGCATATAAAGTAGCTATTCAAGTTAATTATAAGTGTACTTAAAAACAAAAAAAATGAAAGTTATTTTCTAATATAGCTTCTTTAATTGATACATTTTTCTGAAGATAAAATACAAATTTGCAATAAATTCAGTAATAATTTACAATATGTACATGAAACAAATAAAACATAGGCTAACTCGTATATCAATACCAAAATTAAAAGATTTCAAATTTATATTTTGAAACTTTTTGTGAAGTAACACTATTATAATGCACAAACAACTTTGTGTATTGTATCAAAGACCAGAGAACTATTTTCAATGTTTTTGTGCCATTCATCCTCAATTTTGTCTCTCACATTTTTGTACATCCAAAATATGCCTTTACGACAAAATTCCTGTTTCTAATGTTATAAGCTTGTATTTTTAACATTTCAATATAAATAACTGTCACACTAAACTGATAACTTATGATGAATAGTTCTCTGTTAGTAACATTTTTGTTTTATATTTTCATTGCGAGATGACAAATTAAATACACATAGTACAGTGCTCAAAACATTTAGTTATATAATCATTTACACAAATTCATGAAATTAAATATCTCTGCAATATTGGTAATTATTTTTAAGGTTGGCACACCCTCCTGTAAAATTAATTTTTTTTCTGAAAAATTAAAACTGAAATTCCCAGATCTTAATTTTCCCTTCTTCAAAATAAAAATCCAGTAATCGAACACTGACGATCAAATTAAGTAAATGTGTACTAAGTATTTAATTCTTTTTAAACATCAAGTTCAATTTTCTTTTTCTTATAATTCTGTCAACTGATAAAAGTGAAAATCCCTATAATGATAAAAGATATGTTTATCATCATTCATTAATAGCTTTTTGATATTTTCATGGATAAAAATTAAAAATTTTATATCTATAAAAGTACATATCAATTTCATGGTATCCTAAACTACACAAACTTATTACCAGTATAGATATGGTAAATAAAAAATTAATAAATCTTGACTCTCATCTTCTGTTGTTTTTTTAATTATCAAAAATTACCCCTGCAAAATTTCATCAAAATCAGATTGTACTTACAGATGCTTCATCAACCTTGAGGTTTTTACAATTTTTGCTTGATATGTGTCTGTACACAGAAAATGTGGAACTCTCACATCTGTTACTGCAGTGTAGTGACACTAACATAAAGATTATCAAATGCATCAACAAACACATTTCACAACAGCTGTTATTCCAGCTTGCTAAGCAAGGCCTAAACATGGTACTTGTATACATATGTACAACTGTAGGCTATACGGGTTTAATTACTTTCATCATTTGTAGATTTTTGACTATGGTTGCTCTGTGGGAAATCTTTCTTATTGAAAACACTAATGATAAAATTACATGGGCAATACCACTATCAAATTGATGGTGAGGGAAAGCTCCACAAGACGATCAACCTCATTTGCCCTTTCTGGGAAAAGCTGGCACTCCAACTAGGCCAAAACAACAAGTAATTTCCAAGTTAGAAAAACATCCAGAAAAGTAAGTCATGAAGGTCTGGAATTTAAATCCAGCTAAAGGACAAGGACTTGACACTGCACATCAAGATGCTCTCTCGATCAGTCATGACCACACAGGAAGACATAAGCTTTTTCAATGCACAAAAACATGGCTGATGATGCTGTAGGACCTCTAAGGATGAAAATACAAGGAAGAAAGGGGTCAAGGAGCAGAAGGAAGAGGAAAGAACCCAAAAAGATCAAGCAAGAAAATGTAGAATGAAGGAAGTTGTTGACTTGGAGTCCTCAAGCAGCAGTGATGATGGCACTGCAAGGGAGGCAGGGGGTACAGCAGTTGGCACTGGTCCTTCAAATACTCCCTCACTAATGAAGCAAGCTCAGTAGAATGTGATCCCCCTGGACCTAGCCTCTGCTCTGAATCCTTGCAAGATAAGTTATAGGTAAGCTGCTCATATCACTGCAGTAGCAACAGCCAACTTGGTTCAAGATGCAAGTGTGCTGAGTATCAACAGATCCTCAAATTCAAGAGTAAGAAGATATCACCTCACTAATCTGGTAAGTAAATTGAAAGAGGACTTTCAGGTAAATGTGCCTCTCATAGTCCACTGGGTTGATATACTGTTGCCTGACTTGACAGGCAAAGAGGCAGCTGATCACCTCCTTGCAGTATTGAAGATACTCAATGGGACAAGAGACACCATAGTTGGTGAGTATGTGCAACTACTGAACACTGAAGCATCAAGAAGTGCATTTGTGACATGGCCTTCACATGACTTCTGCAAACACAGGTCACAAATCTGGAGTGTGCCTCTTCTTGAAACAAAAAAATGGGAAAGAAACTGCTCTCATTTGTATGTTGCTAATATGTGCTAGAGGTTGTTCTCAAGAAAGTCTTCACATTTACACTTGCAGCACCTTCAGGGGCCAGACATCCAACTCTTCAAGTGTGAGACCTCATTGATTAAGCCAAATTTTTAACATAATTGGATGACAAGAAGTGACGTCGAAGATCACAGGTGTTGTGAAAGAAAAATTAAGAGTAGCACAATGTACCTGAAAAGAAATTATGAAAAAAGAAGTTCTCACCCTTACCCAGCAGCAGCTTGAAGAAATACAACCAAGTGAAGATGACCATAATGTCGTAGGATGACAGACCTCCTGGGGGAGTTCACTTCTGAGATCCAGTAGGACTTCAAAGAGCATGATGGATGGCACATCTGCTGTATGGCTTCAAAGATCTTCATGTCCAGTTTGACAAAAGATGATGAAAGATTATTCAAAGTGAAAGTGAAAAGTGGAATTCATAAATTATTTTGTTTCACTACTGCAGAGGGCTACATTTAAGCCTGGCTCTCCACTCCCATAGCTACTTCTGCTCCACTAAGTGATGTGAAGTTCCTCGAAAGGCTCCAGAAGTATTCCAAAATCAACAAGAGTGTCACTGATAGTGGCATACAAAAATTATTAGGGCACTTGAGTGAGGAGTTGATTGGCCTAGTAATTCTTTGACCAACTAGTCCCTCTTGATGAGAAAAGTGCCATGCTGGAAGCACTATAGAAGCTTAAAGGAACAGAGGATAAGCTGAATAGGATCAAACTGCAGCTTTCTGATTTTGGAAAGTCCAGAAAGCCCAGTGCATTTATCACATAACAAGCTTCTTCAATGCCTTTGATCTCTCTAAATGATCCAGAGGTCTGACTTCGGGACAGTGAGTAAGGAACCACCTAAAAAACTATCAAAGGGTTTAAAAGTGGTCATTGATACTATAGAGAGAGGTGCAACTCATCATCAAGAGTTTAATGACAACTAAACTCCTAATAAGGAACAAAAGCAGTACTTGTTCCACAATGTCTCTCAGCATTGGAAGTTGTGTCCTGGTTCTAAGAAATCTGCTGTTTTTTCAGCCCTAAAGTTGAGTATGAGTTTGGTATTTATCCATTTCTTAAAAACAATTCATTCACAAACATAGTCCTTATTTCAGTGTCATTTACATCAACTTTTGACCCCTGTTTGATATATTATAAATTGCTTTACTGTTCTAAAATCTCTATTTGTTCAGAAAATAAAACCTTCAAGTTTTGTTTTCCACTTTTGAAACCTGTGAGGCACCAGTAAATAAATCTTGATTTCCTTAAAATTTCACAGGCATTATTTTCTATTGTATTGTAATAGATTGAAGGGGTAAAAGCATGATGCTTGTGATTTTCAAAAATAGAGCCCATCCTAACCATTATACTGTTTCAAACAAAAGCTTATAAAATACAATATTATCCACTAAATGCTTATAAGTGCAATTACCAATGAAACACATAAAATACAAAGAGAGCAAAATGTAAATTAAAAATAATAATAAAAATAACCATCCAATTTGCAAAGCACACAATATTGTTTTTAAACATACTAGTTAAAATTTTACCAGTGTAAAATTCTTCATTATTTTTATAAAAAGAACTTCAAGAAGTCAAGAAAGTCTTGTTAACAAGTGACCTTACAATTATGAGTCAATAATGAAATCAACTTGAAGACAAACACTGGTCAAAATTATTTGCTTAATTGTTGTTAAGCACGAAGCTACAAAATGGAGTATCTGTGCTGTAACCACCACAGGTATTGAAACATGGTTTTGAATGTTATAAGTCTTCAGACTTACTGCTGTGCCAATAGGAAGGGGGGGGGGGGTAATGGCCAGAAAAAAAAATCAACATTTTTATGCTTATGATCACATAACAATTGATTGTGTTAATTTTAATGTCTAAAAGATATAGAGCATAACACAGGGGTGGATCCACACTGGTTAAGATAAAATAGCCAGCTTTTTCAAGAAATCAGTAAACTTTGAACATTAACTTATCACCATTAAACTTTAAAATAAATTTTACTGAACTGTTTTTGGTAATGAGTGTCAACTTCATGATCCATGTCAATCTCCACTATATTTAGAAAACTCTATTAGTAACCAGAACAATCATGTGTATTTGTCACAATCAGAAGTTCTCTTAGCCAATGAAATCAAACTAGTACATCAAATCAAGATGACAAAGTGTAAACAATGTGATGTAAAGCAGCAGAAAATTGGGAACTATTTTTGTAGTGTTAACATAAGGATATATATATTTTTTGCTTTCTTTCACTATAAGAATGTAATTTATCAAGTTGCTGAAGTACGTGATGCAGAAACAAAACAATTAGTGAATTTTAGTGGGAGATGAACATAGAAAGTGTATTTCATATGCCTAACTGAAGAACTTCCTCCAATAGATGATGGTGGTGAGATGCAGAAAAAAGGTAGAGTGCCTGATCTGATACAACAACATCTAGATCTCTGAAAGTGGACAGGGAGGTATATGCCAATCAAATCAGTTGACGAACCAACTTGTAAGGGTAAAAGGAGAAAGGTCATGTACAGAGGAATGTTGCCAGGAAATAAAAAGGTGGGAATGGGAACCACAGAAGGAGACCATGCAGGCAATGTGACACCAAACAGCACATACAGGACACAGAAGTCTGTATAGATGAGATCAGGAATAAAGGTGGGAAATGGATGGAAGTGAAATTGGCAAGAAGGAAGAATGTCCCTCACAAGCCGCTGAAGTTTCGGGTAGAAAAGATCAGTCTAAATATAGAAGAACATGTGTGGAATGGAACAAAGTATCTGAAATGTTGATGGCAAATATATCAGACTGAAGATGCCCACAGGCAAAAAAGGTGTAGGAAATAAGGAGATAGGTGAAACATGGAACATGAAGACAAAGGTTCAGACAAAGGTAGTGAAGAACAATATCAACAATTTAATCAAGAAGAAACACTCGATGAGGAGATCTATGAATCTGGAAGGAACACAATAAAAGAGAGATGGTAGGAGAGGAAAACACCAAATAGTACCTGGTAAACTGAAAGATGTTGGATAAGGCTGCTTAATAACCAGCTATGGAAGAGAAAGAAACCCCACAATCAGACAGCCAGGTGAAGAAATATGTAAGATGGGAAGAAGAAAAACCACGACTCAACAATCAATGGCAGAAGGTGTTCCATTTACATTGATAAACCTCAAGAAATGAAGGGCGAATGGTTTGTGCTACAAGAGAGGAAACACTCCTAAAAAACCGGATCTCCTTGCCAGGGACCTGATAAATGCCAGGCATGAAGTTGAAAGGTGGGAAGACTGGGATGAAGGACCAGTGACTAAGTTGATGGAAAGAGAGGAAGAGACAATGGGGGAAGGGGCTAGTAGCTTGGAGCTGAATGAGACAAGGAAACCAAGGTTGCACCGGCCAGTAAGGAGCAATCATGGTGTGGCATGGATGATCGAAATCTCCCTGGGAAGGAGTCAGATAGGAGGGTAAACATAAAGGTACTGGTTGATCCAGTCCTGAATGAGAGCATTCACAGGCAGGGCCCAAGGATGAGGAACCAAAGACCAAAAATGAGGTAAAATCCAGATGAGGAGTATCCCACCGAATACACATCCACCTGAAAACCTGAGGGTCAAGAGACCATGCCGTGGGATAAACTTGATTGGGTTGTGAAAGAAGATCTGCCATAAAATTGCAAGCACCCGGAACATTACACGCAATGAGACTTATCTGTAGCGTGTGGACCCAATAAAGGAGTTCTAATGTTCAGCCACAAAAGGAATGGGTGCCCCTCTTGGTGATTGATATAGGCCACAACAGTGAAATTGATTAAATGGATCATGACAAGTTGGTACCAGAGGAAGAAAATGAGCCAAAGCATATTGTAATGGCAAAAGCTCCAAGATGTTGGTATGGTAAGACATTTTAATCTGAGATCATTGTACAGAAGTTTCCTGCTGATTGATCCATGCCCCCAATCTTGGAGAGAAGCATCTGTGAACAGATGCAAATCTGGACAAACTGGTGGAAGCAGTTCTCTTATTGTTTTGTCTTTGTTCGACCATCAATGCAGTTCATCTATAAGCGAAGAAGGAAGGGTAATTTGGGAGTCCAGGGATCCTGAGCAAGATTCCATTGTTTGTGCAGAGTTCACAGAAGAGAATGCATATGTGCCTGACCCAAGGGGCTAATGGCTTCCATAGAAGCCAAAGTCCACAAAAGTAACAGAATGTCATGTGCAGAAATAGAGGGAGAAGCAAGTGCATGAAGAAGCGAAAGCTCCATCGAACTGAGACGAAGTAGAGAAGGTTGGGCCCGACTGAGGTGGGTGTTGAAAAATACACCCAAGTAGATAACATACTAGGTAGGCAAAAGGGAAGACTTTTCCAACTTGAGAATCCAACCAACATGAGCTGCTTCTGTCAGTAGCAGATATGTGTGTTGAGAAGACTCCAGTTTGAAATGAGCTAACAGGAGCCAGTCATCCATGTAGTGGTGAAAACACAACCCTCAAGCATGCATAAGTCGGGCAAAGGCTTTCACCACCCGACAAAATACATAAGAAAGACAAGGTGTGAAACTGATAAACAACTCTGCAGTGGACAAACTGAAGATAGCGTCTGAACTGATGAGAAACAGGAATATAGAGATAATCATTCAAGATGCCTGCCTTGGTCATCCACAGTCCTGGAGAAAAAGCCCACCAATGTGTGTGAAAGGATTCCATGGTAAAGCCAGGAAGATACTAAAATTGATTGAGGCACAACAGATTGATCACAGAATGCCAGTTTCTGATTTACTTGGGGAGGACAAAAAGCCTGGAGTAAAAACTGGTAGAAGGCTGGCTGACAGGCTCGATATCTCTCTGTGATAAAAGTCTGCAAAGCTTTGGATAGATGCTGACAAGTAGCAGAATCCCAAGGTAACAAGGACAAGGCATGCTAGCACCAGCCCTCAACTGAAACAAAATCCTCAGTATGAACCCTAATGTCAGGAGAAGGAAGGAAAACAAGGTATTCTATAGATGGGGTTTCATGCAACATGGAAGGAACAGGATCATATGAAATTGAAAAACAGAACACACCTGAGAAATCATATCCAAAAAACACCGAGTTAGGCCTGGAGATTTTGCAGGAGAGGCATGGCATAGTTAGGATGAAAAAGATCATCAAAATCCTCCCTCTCATGAAGAAGTTTAGAAGATTCAGAAGGAACCCAATCACTATAGGGAGAAGATAGCCAAAAAATCCTCATCTGAGACCCCCCAACCCTGAAGCCTGTGTAATGGCAATCAAAGTAGTGAGAAAAATATTTGTCACATGAACTTTGGAATTCATCTTAAACTCTGAAGATTTCAAAAATGAGAAACAAAACTGATAAACAAAGGTAAGTTATTGTGGCAAACTAGTACAGAAAAGTAACTGTAGCAAATGAATAATTTAAGTAAATCACTATTTTGCAAAAAAAAAATTTAATCAACACGAGAAAAGAGCACAATTGAAAAATGTCTGCATTTGACCACTGCCTAAGAGAGGGAGTCACGTGCGTCAAGAGGATGTGTTGCACTCCTATTGGTAGAGGGTTGTCCCATGATGATTTACATGAGATGCATTGAACCACGTTGATTGTGTGGTACATGGAAATTCAGACTTGTGACATGCAAAAAAATGTTTGCTTATAGAGAGCAGCACTGAACTAAAATAGCTATCCATATGAGTGGAAGTAAGGTTCCATATCAGAAACATATTTTTGGCAAGTTTTACAGACGTTTCATTCTTGGATGATGAATCTCTAATGCCAACTAAATATCAACCATGGCTGCCATTATGTCTGTTTTTTAAATATGCGGTAAACCCACACTAAACTTCTATAAAGCAAATACATTGATAATTAAATAACAAAAACATGTTTTCCTCTCACCAATAAGGGTAGTAACGTTTTTATTTAAAATATATCATTACTGCAATTCTAAATAAGAGTGGCCAGTTAGTCAATATATTTATGTACATTGTTTGAATAAGATAAACATATGAATAGTATTTAATGAAGATCCAAGTCATCAGAATATTTTGCAATCACCTACCATACCCACCAAACAGCAAACTTATCTGATTTGATGACAATTGTATTTGGTGATTATAATAAAAAAACTCATATTTACAAACATTGTATCTCAATAAAACCATAGTATATCTATTAAAAAGTAATTGAATTTAAAAAAAAGACACAAAACTTGAGCCTACTTATACATCATTGAAGAATACAGTTTAAAATATAATGCAGTAAATTTTGACTTTATTTAATACTTAAGTAGGCAGTGAGTGTTGCCTGCCAGTTGACTTCCCTCTAATCAGCTGTTTAAAACGAGTGACAATGGAAGATAGCCTTAGTACTTTGCAATGACAAAGATAGGAGGATTTTTTTGATAAAAGAGTTGGCACAAAGGATCACATATAAAGTGTAATAGACTTAAAATAAGACCCACAACTCGAGCGCTCTCGAACAGTTGATTATTCTTCCTCAGGAGAACAAAGATAGGATGAGAAACTTTAGTGGCAATGGGAATTGAACCCAAGATTTTCAAATCACAAGACATTCGTCAACCCATTATGTAGCTTTGTGCTTAACAACAAACAAATATAATGGAAATATTTCAATTACTTGGATAGTTGGAATAATCTAAAACAGTAAATAATCTGAAATCTTAATTTCAATTAGATGATTGTTGGAATAATAGGAAATACCAATGTAAATTAACTGATTATTTTTGTGATTATTTGGAATTTTGATTAATCGATTAATTTATGAGAAACTAATTTATATAACTGTTGGTAATCAATTATATTGATTAAATCTCTCTGCTCTAATTAAGAAATAGGTCAGCATTTATGTCTGGATTTGCATGATAAAACAGCATTACCATAGCTTGGATGGCATTTTAGGCAACTACACTAACTACAAAAAGCATTACACATAAAAACCAAATAAACCTATAATACAAACAACATTGTGCAAATGGTATATCAGGTGTCTGCAGAAGTGGAACTGATACATCAGTAGTGATACACCATTTATCATATTAAATCACAATTCACAAACTTTAAATGAGAAACAAATTAAAACTAAAGAAACACTAATTAATTAATTGAGTATTAGAAATAGATATGAGAGCTCAAAGCTTATATCCCATATCTAAAATTCATCATCTGTTGCCAGTTGTTGGAAGGTAGTTACTTCTGATAAGACAAAAAAGCAAAGAAGTGAATTAAGAAATAAAATAAAGGATACTACTATTGAATCACTGGGAGTAACAAGTAAAACTTATCTTTTCAGTTATGATTTATTTTTACAAGTGTTGCATGTGAACAGAGACAGTGTATTCCTACTGCTCTGTAGGTCCTATTTCCACAGATCTTTCTATCCACTAAGGTGAACACCACCCTTCCAACATCACATTACATACACTAGTTTTACTTGTCTTCAATTACATGAAATTGTTTTTTGTTTTGGTCTAATTATCTGAATAATGTATATGTGTGTAAACAGACACAATATCCAATATTCTTCATGGTATTGATTATAAAAGGTTAACTGATATCTGTTTGGTAAAAAACAAAACAGAAACAAATGATATTAAATTTTAGAACATGAACATACTACTTTGGGCATTAGCACATCACAACTTCCAAGAATATTGTTCAAATACAAAAAATAATCAACACAAGCACAGATAAGCCAGGAAATGAATTTTTCTTTTTCTTTATTTAGGATTATCACTTATATAGAACTATATGAAATTTGTATAAAACAATTAACTCATGTGGATATTGAACACAATGTTTTATAATAGCTTTACAATACATTTCAATTTTGATATTGTTTATATTTTTCTTCAAGTTATTGTAACTACCTGGTAATAAACAGCAGTACAAAGTGTAATAGTATAAATTAATAACAGCCCATCAAGGTCATTAACATGGACATTACTCTGAGAAGATAGAGATGCTTCTATGGTAACAACTAACCTGGTACAAAATTTATCAACAGATTCTTTCAATAAAATATATCTTATTTCATTTCAATACATTTTAGACTGCTCAGCTATACAGCTGATTTCAGCACTTAAGTTTTTATTACAGTTTTTTAACCAAAATATCAAACATTCCAGCAAAAAAGCCTATATTATGATTGGCTGAGAATCTAATATGTGGTGTATTTATACAAAAACACAGACCATTACCATCATAGAGTGCCATACTTTACAGAAAAATAAAAAAAGTTTTTGATGCGTTCACCTTTACATTACAGAAAGTAATAAGTTTGTATCCACATTTGGTTGATAAATGGCAATTAAAATATATTTTGGATGATTTAATAATAATAGCAAAAAGAACAAAATAAGAAAAAAACAAACAACATTGCTAAACACAATGACATTTTCCCCGTTTACAGCATGAGTCTTGGGCTTTTCGTATTGGCTTTTTAGTTTTTTTCTTTAACTAAACAGGGCATCCAACTTCTATAACAAAACATTTAGATCTGGGGCTAATGATCCATATCCATTAGTAGGTAGGTATACAAGGTAGAAATGTTAGCTTATAATACAATATTCTTTATAAATAACCGATATAAAAATGATGTTACTCTGTGTGTCTATGATACATGAAGATGAAAACATGAGGCTGAATTCATGTCATTTTGGCCAATCAATGAAGGATGAAAACATGTTTGCAACAGACCACTGATTATATAAAAAAAATACCTTGTTATTCCTTCTAGTTGCTAAACACTATATGTAAATATAAACTAAATCTAAAACAACCTTTGCTTTTTTTCTTTAATGGCTTGAACTGGGGGTGAAGTTGAGGCTTATATATTACATGGACCCTAGATATTATTTACATTGCATGAAATATGTTGATTTTGGAATTAAACTATTTTTAAATTCAGTTGCTTAATTTACGCTCATATTTTCTATCAGGTTCATTCTGCACAATTTATCTGATGTAAAAATTTGTTCATTAATTCTTCTACAGGACATTATCTAGCCTGTGATTAATTGCACAATCAGGCTTCTCTCCACAATAATGTCAACATGATCATTAACTGTTGTATTGGCACCATTTTACCTTTAAGTTTTTACAATGATTTCTTCAGTTCATCATCATCTGCTTGAACAATATGATGCAGGGTCATTTTTCAAACATATTTATTGCTCATGTTCGCAATTTAGACAAGGCTTACCTGTCTAGTATTATCAGCAACATCAAACATCTTCTACAGAGTGAGAGATGTATGTGAAATAGATCTATTGCAAAAGACACAACACTGTCAGCCTACATTCTGTCTCTTAAATATAATGTCCATAATACAAAAAACTTAAAATGGTACTCATTCTGTATTTGAATATTTTCAGAAAAATCCTATTTCTTCATATAAACCTACAAAAAAAAGAGAAGATAATATATAAAGCTTAAAAGCATTAAATTATTAAGCATTTATAGCAAAATTACAAACAAAACAAATTTAGATACAACACTGGACCATGAGGTGAATTATACCATCATTTATCTTCAATAATCAGGAGTTTAAATACATAACATTGTGTCTATACCTGATGAATAACATATTTTATACTATCACGAGGTATTGAAATATTCGATTATTGTCTATCTACAATAATCAGAAGTTTGGATATCTAACATTGTGTTTACACTTGATGAACAAGATATTAAACACTATTATGAGGTATTTAATTATATCACTATTGTCTATCCTCAACAATCAGAAGTTTGGATATCTAACATTGTGTTTACACTTGATGAACAAGATATTAAACACTATTATGAGGTATTTAATTATATCACTATTGTCTATCCTCAACAATCAGAAGTTTGGATATCTACCACTGTGTCTACACTTGATGAACAAGATATTACACACTATCCTGGCTAAATAACATTTTTACTTATCTTAGACTCTTCAAACGTTTAACAATAAACCACTTTTAAGAAATCTCTCAAATATTATGGTAAAAAATTTACTTACTTCCTCAATAATATGTCATATGGAAACTACCATATTTGGTGGTGATGTAGATTTCGACTTAACACTGATCGAACATCACTGGTAAACCTTAAAGCATCAAGGAATGGTAACAGATTTAGCAAAGCTGTGTCTGTAGGGTCAGAAAACCAGGAATTTATTGGTATGGCATTATCTGAAAAAAAAACAGAGACAGTAATTTCTGGAAAATTGTTATCTCAATATAAAGGAAGACAATCAACCTTAAAATAAAGCACAGTGATATTTTTGTTTTAAAAAAGTCTCTGGCAATTTCAGTCTGTTTAAAGTGCTAGGTCAAAGTAATCAGAGTTAGCATCTGGACTTTTTTATAAATTAAATAGAGAAAAACACGTTATTTGTATCATGAAATAAGTAAAAGTTAAAATAGTTTTACAACTCAGTTATTTCTTGTGGTTAATATGTCTTCAAATGTCATGATAAAAACTTATAAACTGATTTAATTTGTCACTTTTCCTCAATATCAAGAAATTCATAGGTTATCAAGTGTCATAATAGCCATTTCTAAACTTACTTAATATGTTACTTTGTATCAATATCAAGTAATTCAGAGGTCTTCAAGTGTCATGATGGGCATTTTAAACTTGTTTAATTAGTAACTTTGCCTAAAATACAAAGTAATTTATAGGTCTTCAAGTGTCATGATGGGCATTTTATACTTGTTTAATTAGTAACTTTGCCTAAAATACAAAGTAATTTATAGATATTCAAGTGTCATGATGGGCATTTTATACTTGTTTAATTAGTAACTTTGCCTAAAATACAAAGTAATTTATAGATATTCAAGTGTCATGATGGGCATTTTATACTTGTTTATCATTTAACTCCACACCATGTGCACATTAAGTATATGACAGAAAGTCAGATGGTGTGAAATGGAATAGCAAAATATAAATAATTGTTTACATTTATGCATAATTTGTTTTAAGATTGAAACAACCCTAAACAAAATAAAAACTTAATTTCAATGAACTGTTTATTCATCCAGAATGAGGGAGGCCTGGGATAAGCAGATGTTATTATGTACAACATATTCTTAGAAAATCGTAGTAAACACATATTGTAGGTACCTTCTCTACGCAGTTTTGTTAAATCTATATACCCAATAAGTGTGTTTGAGAGAAAATACAAAAAAACATAAACTAAGTTTTTTGAATTATTATGGGAAAAGGCTTGCTATCTTACAACTAAGTTTTTTTTTACCTGGATAAGCCCTGTATGCTCCAGGAGAATTGTCTAAAATAAATATACTAGATAAATCATCTGTTATGGCTGAAAGATCTTTGGTGTAGCTTCCATAATCTAAAGTACAGTGCTGTAAATATAAAGCAAAAGATAACAGTTACAACAGACTGTTTCACAGACTGATTTGTCATGTAAATTGTTACTGATGTTACAACTGACATGAACAATCTTGACATTTTACACAATAAAATAAATCTTTTAATGATAGGAATCAAATAACTAGTAAATGTATTAGGTGATTTAGACAATTATTTCAAAATTTTAACCTGTTTTTAATGAAATTCATTTTTTTATCTTTTTTAACACTTTTAGTATTTGACTAACAGGCTTCTTACAATATACAATTGTGAAAGTTTCATTACATATTAGAAGAAAATACACTTTTCAAATAAGCTAAACAACTGAATAATAATATATAATTCACATGAAGAAACAAGAAACTTTGGTCTGTTATAAAGTTTTGTATGCTTTATATGTAACAACACACAACCGAAAACACGCATACCCAAAATGATAAAACATATGAAACCACCAATAAAGCTAAATGAAAGAATGTATTAATTTTGCATTATTGTTAATATTTTAAAAAGCATGAGCTAAAGTGTGCAAAAATGTTGTATTTCTCTGAGAAATGAATCTATGACAAATTTATTGTTAAGTCAAACTGTTAAGAGAGAAAAAAAACATCACAAGATAATAAAAAATTGAGGTGTATTACTTTTTATTTTATGTTCAATTTAATAGAAAGCATACAGTAATTGAAAGCTTAAAGCTTTAATAAACTCTAATTATTTGTCTTTGTGCTTCAGAGATAATTTTCTTTTTAAAGGTACTAATGAAGTGAAGCATCAGACAGACAAAATTTACAATAATGTATTCAAAATTCAATAAAATATTATTTCAACTATTTGTTTTGCTATAAAAATAATTAAAAACATTTTTTCAAAGGTGGCTAAGAATACACTTCATAAAATATTTGTCAAACCTTCATTAAAATACATGTAGTATATTGTGTGCAAATATTTTGAATAAAATATGGAAACTACAAAAACAGCATTTTTTCTTTTTCTTTTAAACTTGCATTACTTTGTTTTGAAATTTATTAATTTAATGGATGGCTTAGAGGATCAAATTCTTTCATAAATACATTCTTAAAGCCAATTCTCTACCTCAGACTCCAAATGCCTACTCAATCTTATGCAATTCTACTATACAACAAAATTATACATTTTTAGAATTAAAATTAATTCAAAACAGGTACTTACCTCTGAAGAACATTCTTCTTGTTGAATTACTTTTATGCTGTCAACTACTGAAGGACTGTAGGTTCTAAATGTCCTTGAAACAATGTAGAGCATTCATCAACTCATTCAGAATTCTCCACTCTTTCACATTCAACATGACTTATTGTACATGTACATAATTTTCTACCATAGACCAGGTTTCTTTGTTTAAGAGTTGTGACAGTAAAATATATTCCTCTGAGTTGTGAGGATGTTGGCTGGAATGGATTTCAGAGGTAAATGCCTGTTGTAAATTTATTTTGATTCTAAAAAAATGTAAAATTAAAACCAAGTACCCTTACCTCTAAAGTACTAGAAGCCAGAATAACCACATTGAAATAAAGAATGGAACTAGAGAATGTCATAAGGAACAATGGTTCCTCAAAAATAAGCTTCTTAGGCAAGAAGGTAATAACAGAGACCACAATAAATGAATTAAATGGGTAAATAGGGATTGAGTAGAATCTACAACCAGAATAAATGCCAATGGATTGGATTTATGGGAGAAACAAGTGCAATAGACCAGCTTCAAGGAGAATGGACTGACATGAGGACATTCAGACAGGCATTCTTCTCAGTAGGGTATCTCCTCATCCTGGACATCCATTTGTAATATACGCACACACACACACACACACATATATATATATATATATATATATATAAATTAGGGTCACACAGTAATAACAGATCTTGTGGAGCCATGCACATTCTGAGGTGTGGTCACAAAAGGTAGCATGACAGTTAAGTAGGGTAAAAGCACAAAGCATTGTCATATACCTGTAGTGGAAGATTTTCAGAGGAGGTGGCCAATAGTAACTAATGCTTGGATGAAGATTATGGAAAAATAACTAAAAGGAAATATATAAGGTGATCCCATATGGAAAACAGGCATCTTGTCTCCAATGGCTCAAATGCTACACGAGGGTGTGCACGTGGAAGTGGAAAATGTATCCACTGAGACATGTTTTGTCCACTTCCAATGGGCATTATTCTCTCATGGAGCTCCATTATAGAGGGCATAATTTTGATTAGGATAATCACAGTTATATGTGATGGGCAAAAGTCCCGACTGGATGAATTCATACACAGAATCTCCAATCATAAGGGTAGATAGTATTTTTCTTCTTCTGACATTGACGCATATTTGAATGATTACTCATCCCCAGGTACCCCTGGAATTGCTAACAGTGGTGTTAGGTAGTACTGAAATATCTGGGATGCTTACATAACACAAGTGTGGGACTAAATTGTAAACAAGCAAGAAACTGAGAATAACTCGTCAGCTAGAAATTCCATCCAGCTTGAAGAATCACAACTGGAGGTAGACAGAATTGTAAAGATGAAAAGACAGTAATATGATGTAAATAAAATTTATAAGAATATATATATATATATATATATAGAGAGAGAGAGAGAGAGAGAGAGATTATTCTAAATGCATAGCCTGCAAGATACCCTTCTAAAGGATACTGTGATTGAGAAGCCAAAAACACTGCCAATTGGCAAGTTTGGGGAGATGTAACCCAAAATTCAATTTTAAAGTGTTCATGTACATCAGGGTAAACAAGATGGATTAATTACAAAAGCCAATTTGTTAATCTAGCCAAAACAATAACCAAAGAGCATGATTTGTTGTATGGTATAAAATATATTTTCCACACCTTCCTGAAAGAGTCAGTGCAGGTAAGCTAACAAAGAAATGTCATGACATAAAATCACTCTTCATAATGGGAATTAGGACCATGAATGTAAGTAACACAAGAGGTGAAAAACAATGGCTACCTTATTTCACAGCTCAAGTTCAGGTAAGGAAACAAAGAATGCAAAGTCTCAAGAGCATAGATACAGGAATGTCTTTTGATATGAGGGAAAGGTGATAACTGAGAAAGTTTCTAAGAGCTCAAAAGAGGAAGAAGTCAAGAAACATAAAATTAAACCCAAGTCCAATTTAGGACAGTGTCTAGGAGCTTGAGTTGAAAATGATAGGCTTGGAACATGCCCTCTTGAACAATGGGGGCAAAATGGATTTTGTGGAACTGAGAGTGGCAGATAAAGCAGTTCTGTAACTAATATGGAAGAAGCTGATAAGCCAAGATAATGAAAAAAAAAAAAAATGAAGAAATCAGTAATTTGCTGAGGAGTTAAAGATAGACAAAAAATATGTCTTATGCACCAGCTATTAAAAGTAGCCAAACAGAATTAAAAACCATCTGGGAAGAGTGTTTGTAAGATAAGGTTAGCATATGAGCCAACCTAGAAGAGAATCTAGCTTCTTGGACAAAGGATCTAACAACAACCAACTGTAAAAGCACTGATGTTAAATACTGGTGTGAAAAATGGACATTCAAGATTGTTGAAAAAAAAAAGTTCTCAAGGTGGTAATGTGAATGGTTCCCCATGAGAAAGTTGACAAATAGGAGAAACCATGGCTGAGCTGACCAAAGTGGAACAATGAAGGAAAACCAGCACCACAATTGACTCAGAGCATCCACAGTCAGTAAGTTTGGATCTGGAGATCAGTAAAGTGGAAAAAGATGGTTGTCTAATGTAGCAAAGGTATTAATCATTGCATGACCCAATAATCTGAATAGACACTGAAAACCAAAGGGTGTAGAGAGTATACTCTGTGGGGAGAAACTAATAAACCAGAGCGAGTCTATCAAAGTTCATCAAACCACGTACATTACAGAACCCAAGATTGAAATGATCATAATGAAGCAAAAGTAGTAAATAAGTTGCAGCAAAACAAAGACTGCAAGATTCAATACCACCCTGATTATAAATAATAGTTGATGTAAACAACCACTATAGAATTGACTGTGTGAACCAACAGAATGATGGCACAGAAAGGGCAGAAACTTGAGATAAGCACACTGAACAGTCCACGGTTGTAGCATGTTAATGTAAGCTGAAAATGTAAAACTTAACAGTAAGGATTTGTTTAAATACATTAAGGGTAAACAAAATGTTAGGACCCTTGAGGGATGATAAAGGAAGGCTAATATCTGATGATTATGAGATGGCTAGGTTATCAAATTTTGCTTTTCTTCATTTTTTACTGATGAAAATTTAAGCAGTATTCCCCATCTTGAACAGTTGATAGATGGAAATAAGATCAAACTAGATGACTGCATTAATTCTCAGCTGCTTAAGAAAAAATTGGGAAGTTTAAAAAACGACAAGGCTCCTGAGCCATACAATATTTCCCCAAGGGTTTTGAAGGAGGTAAAAGATTGGATATTTGAGCCACATACTACTATTTTTTGTCAGTCCTTGAATAGTGG